AAGCTAGAGGTAACTACTGAAAGGTATTGAAAGCCATTGTATGCAAGGGTATTGCTTGTGGAATACCAGATAGATCCTTTGGGATGTAAAATAGAAGTATGCAATTATGGTACAAGTATTACGTGTACAGTTGCGTCCTCAACAGACTTCACTATGGGCAGTCACAGGATGTCTGGATATAGAGTAATATGGTCTAAGCTTCACAAGTATGCTGTAGGTGGATATGAGTATGTCAGGTCCTGGTTGGAGTCTAGGTGTTGTCCACGTCATAGGAGGAGGTAATATGACTGGGCAGGGGCTTGGCATTTGGGTCCCCGCAGAAGTCTAGCACTCCCTACTGCCAAGAGAAGATGGTCAGATTATGACTGTACATTGGCTGAGCTATTCAGTGGAGATAAGATGGGAGGTGGAAAAACAAGTATCTTATTGTGGGTGCGTTTTCCAACAGGTAGACACTGGGATAAGACTCGGAAAGTCTGGTTACTGAATGGATTGGTATTGGAGGCACGTAGTGTCCTTTGGGTGGAAGAAGATAGATTGGGTAATGGCAGGAGCCTATAGCAAAAGCAGAAGTGGTATGTCTAGCTTGGGGCATGAAATTTGGGATCTTACTGAAGCCTAAAAATCCCTGTTGCAAGGGGAAGGAAGGCAGACTACATAGAAGCAATGGATGAGGATACTGTGCTGTATCCAAGGGATATAAAACTACAGGTATCCAACAGGGAGGGTGCTCATTAGAGTAGAACATGGGGAAGACCATAGGTAATCTAGTGTGAAGTAAGGAATTCTATCGGTGAAGATGGGTAAGGAAGGTCCTTGAGGGAACCTGGGTGTTGGCTATAGCATAGAACAAGGTGGAATGAGGCCTAGACACTGGATTTGGGATGCCATGGAAAACTAGAACCACTATTCCATGATGCTGCTAGCTAGACTGGGCCAGAACACTAGGTCTCAGGCTAGATACAGCTGATGTGGAAAAATAATCACCCCCAGTCTAAATATAGATGATGTGGAAAAACAAGCACACCATACATAGGGAGGCATACTCAAGAGGTTTGACACTGAGGGAAGACATGCAAAGTCTAGGTACTGAATTGGGTGGTTTGGGCAGTATAAAGGATGCTGTGGGTGGATGAAGTAAGGTATAGTCGTAGAAGGAACATTGGTGTTGTTACAGCACAAAAGGACGTTGTGGGGCAAATCTGGGACAAGGGATTTGAGACCCTACTGAAGCCTAGAGGTACACATTTAAAGGGGCAGACAGCCAGAGTAATATTAGATACTGGCTGTGCTACTTAAGGGAGATGAGGCAGATGGAAAAACTAATATCTCACTGTGTGTGGAATACTCACAGGCTAGATCGTGAGGGAGGATTTTGAAAGTTTTGGTGGAATAGGAAGCAGTGTCCTATATGTGGATCCTGGCAGAGTAGGTCATTCTGGGATCAGGCATAGAAGAGGTGATGTGAGATGCCCCTCTTAGGCTGTAAATACATTTTATTATCATTGTTTAAGAAAGAATCAGTTTTGGCCTATGGGAGGGCAGAATATAGCTAGGCAGGAAAATCAAGCAGAGAGACAAGGAGAAAGAAGGTGGAATCAGTGAGATGCTATCAGTCGCATGAGGGATAAGATGTCAGAGCAATTCCAATAAGCCACCAGGCACATGGTGATACATATATTATTAGAAATGGGTTAATGCAAATGTAAGAGCTAGTCAATAAGAAGCCTGAACCATCAGCCAAACAATTGGTATTAAGCCTCCAAGCAATTCAGCCTCCTAATGATTTTTTTATAAGTGGTTTTGGGGACCAGTGGGTGGCAGAGAAGCTGGTCTAGCAGGAACAGGCATAACAGAGAAAAGTTTCCAGCTACATTAGAAGTGTTGAGACTAGGCTAGAACATAGGATTTGGGACCCTGTTGATGCCTAGAGGTCCCTATTATAAGGGGCAGACAGCCAGACTAGGCCAAGTATCTTTCTGTGATCCCAAGCTAGATCCATTTGATGTGAAAAAAATGGCATCCAGTGAATATGTCTGTGAAGGCATACTCAAGACGTTTGACCCTAGGGAAAGACATAGGAAGACAGAGCCAGGAGCATGGGGATACAAACAGCACAGCAGGTCCTACAGGTAGATGTGGAGATCAGGAACCTAGATGTTGACTATAGAACAGGAAGGGGTATTGGATTAAGCTAGAAGTGGGAGTTAAGGATCCTGTTGAAGCCTAGAGGCAAGTACTGCAAAGCAAGGAAAGTATAGGTACTGCCTGTGAGACTCAGGCTAGATCTTGCCTGAGTATGTGGAAAGTAGTATCGATAGCTGGGCTGAGTACTCCGCACAGTATACCCTAGGGGAGGGTATGAAAAGTCTGGGTAAGGAGTATGGCCTTTTAGGCAGAATAAAGGATGTGTGGATAGATAAGGATAGGAAGGCAGGGGTTTATAAATTGGCTACAGTACAAAATAAGGTAGTGGAAAGAGGCCAAGTCTTGTGATCTCAGACATTGTTTAAAACCTAGAAGACACTACTACAGGGTCCAGAATCGAGGATAGGATAATGCACTGACTGGTATGTAGGATAGACCAGGCAGTATATGTAAAAACAAACATTTGGTTGAGTGTTTGAAGGGGGCAGCCATCAGGCTACACCCCAGGGAATGAGGGGAGAAACCAGAGTGTTCAGGGTGAACAAAAAAGTACTGTGGAAAATACAGACATGGCCTGATAAGGCCATAGCACAGTGGGAATTATTGTGACAAGGCTTGGCTGAAGGATTTGGAAATAGGGAGAGGCCTACAGCCTGCAACTACAAAGCACAGGTGGCCAGAGAAGGTCAGGCAGCATGTGAAAAATCAAGAATTTATTAGTGTGTTGGTGGTGAGATATGATGATGTTGGATTACGTTGTGTATGACATGAATATGCCTTATTACCATTGGTTATTCAAGAAGATGTTTTGGGCAGTGGATTAGTAGAGTAAAACCAGGCAAGAAATCTGAACAGAGATATATAGAGAAAGTTGGCAGAGTCAGGGAGGTGCCATGTAGCTGCTAAAGGAGAATACCACCAGTTGTCAGGCAGAATCTTACACATAGACCACAGTCTCATGATGATACACAGATATACAGAGGGGAATCCCATATCAATATGAGCTATGTTTGGAGGGATGGGGACAAACACTATTTGGAACAGGAAATAGTTACTAGGTTTGAACTTTGGGAGGACATGGTAACTTTTCATAAAGAGTGGGGTTATGTACGAAGAGCAAATATGTCATGAGTCAGTACAAGTATGATAACTGCTGGGGACCCTAGATGTTGGCTATAGAAGAGTGGTAGCTGCTGGGATCGTGCTATGATTTGAGATCTGTGTCCCTGAAAAATGCTACAAATCACTACTGTAAAGTGCCAGAGTCCATTCATTGATGGTACAGGGACTGTTCTGTCTACAATAAATTCCTCTGAATATGGAAAACCAAGTACTGAGTATGGATATACTTCCCTGGATAAATCCTGGAGGGGGGCATAGGAAGTCAGGGTATGGTGTGAAGAGGTATGTGCAATGTTAAGAGCCCTATTGGTTTATGTAGATAGGGTTACATCTGGTGATAGCCTAGAAGTTCTCTATAGTATAGGAAAAAATATTTCAAATAGGTTGCAGCATCTTGAAGCCTAAAACACACCACTGTAAGGCATGGAGTCCAGACTAAGATTGAACATTTCTTATGGTTTTCAGGTTATATGTACCAGTATGTTGAAAAACAAGTGTCTGATAGTGTGAGATATTCTCAATAGGCTAGACACCGGAAGATATGAGAACAATGGTTGTGGACTGGGCTCATGTCAGTGGTATAAAAGGTCCTAAGGTGAATGAAGGTATTAAAGGAGGCTATATGTTCACCACATTAAAAATGGTATTGAGACTACGCTGTGTCACCTGACTTGGGATCCTATGGAAGCCTAGAGGCCAGAACTTTATTGCTACAAAAGAAGACAAGGCCTGGACAATGGTTTTGGTGTACTTATTAGGTCCAGAGGAATGTGGGGATGCAAATAATCAAGGGTCTCTGTGTGTGTGTGTGTATGTGTGTGTGTGTGTGTGTGTATGTACAATAAACAGGCTAAGCCATGGGGAAGGATCAGTCAACTTTATGTGTGAAGAGGGGAGATGCAGACATCCCAAAGAGTCCTGTGAGTAGATGAGGATAGGGCCAGTCGTGGAGTGAGCATAGATATTGGCGATAGCACTTAGTGCTGGGACTAAGTAGGATGTCAGATTTGGACTCTAAGGAAGCCGAGAGGTGGTTACTGCAAGATACAGGCTGAAAGGCAAAGCTGTGAGATACAGGCTGGATACTGTGAAATGTAGAAAAACGAGTGTAGGGTGGTGGTATACAATCACCAGACTTTAGCCTGGAGGAGGACGTGGGAACTCTGTGTATGAAACAAGACAGGGTAGGCAGAACCAAGTGTCCTGTGGGTAGATGTGTGTTGAAGCTAGGTCCTGTTGGGAGCCTAGATGTTTTCTATAGCACACAATGGAAGGATGATTGATAGATATACTGATATTAAAATACAGGAATGTTACTTGGAAATGATTTTAGGAAGACATTCAAGATACTAGCCAAAGACTGAGGCAGACATAGTGGAATAAACCATTGTCAAGGATCATATTAAGGGAGAATTTGGAGAAGCAAATGATTTCTCATATGTTCTACCACAACTAAAGTGGATATGTAAAGAAGGATGGCACAGAAAATTTGCCTTAGAGTTATTAAAGAGAAGTCTCCATCTAAAACCAAACTCTCTTTGTCTTCTCAATAATTTCCCCCTATCATCAAAGAGTCAGGAGTGGTACACTCTGCTGTTTGTTGCTTCACCAGGCATTCTTGTGGGTCAGAACCATGCTTTGTGATGTCAGAGCACAAGCTCACCTACTATTGGTTGAGGACCTTGATGATGAATCAGTTCTGAGGGTGTGGCCTTCCCTGCTCTGCCAGTTGTTCACAGCCCCTCGAGGGAGAAACAACGCACTGCTTGGTGGTGGAGAAATTTGGGAAGGAACCTAAGGAATCACTGTCCGACATGGACCTCCCATCCTCCACTAGTGATGTGCCGATGGTAGCGAACGGGTCATTCCTTATGGTGAAGACAAAGGCGGCTTACAAGCAGTATCCACCAAGCATCCTGTATGGAAAGGTGAGATGACAAATCCTACCGAAACTCCCTCCTCCCCTGATTTACTCTTACCCAAAGTTACTACGTCTCTCTGTCCTGGCATAAATCCTTTACCAATCCTCACCTTTTCTGACCAAGTATCTTTCACATGCTTATCCTGAC